ACAGCACAGCGGGTAGGGTGTTTGCCTTGCACGCGGCCAACCCAGGTTCGATTCCCAGCATCTCATATGGTCCCCTGAGCACCACCAGGAGTAATTACTAAATGCAGAGCCAGGATCAGTCCTGAGCATCACCGGGTGTGACCCAAAAAGCAAAAAATTAAAATTAAAAAACATTCTAATTTGTCTTCTGTGATACTAGTTTTATTGGAAGATGTTGGCCCACACCTAGCAGAGCTCTGAGGTTATTCCTGGCTCTGTGCTCAGGGGTCCATATGTAGTTTCAGAGATTTAACCAGAGTCAATCACAAGCAAAATAAATGCCTTCACCTCCAAGGTATCTCTGTGGTCCATATTTTTGTTTATTTCATGCATTGATGTGAAATAATGAGTCTTCCAACAGGTAACAAATGAGTGAAACCCTGCACAATGGTTTGCTTACTTTTGGCATAGAAAAATAATAGCAGAGGTCTCAAAGTAGAGAGAGAGGGGCTGGAGAGATAGTACAGCAGGTAGGGCATTTGCCTTGCACATGGCCGCCCCGGGTTCAATCCCTGGCATCCCATATGGTCCCCCGAGCACCTCCGGGAGTAATTACTGAGTGTAGAACCAGGAGTAACCCCTGAGCATCACTGGGTGTGACCCAAAAAGAAAATAAAATGGTAGAGAGAGAGTAAGAGGGAAATTGTCTGCCACAGGAGGCACGGGGAGGGATGGGATGAGGGGGATACTGGAGACATTGATGGTGGAAAATGTACACTGGTGGAGGGATGGGTGTTCGATCACTGTACGGCTGAAACTCAAACATGAAAGCTTTGTAACTGTATTTCAAGGTGATTCAATAAAAAAAAACAAATAATAGAAGAGTTAAGGCAGACTCGGCTGAGCCTGGCTCGATCCCCTGCACTGCACATTATCCTCTGAGTACTGCCAGGGGTCACTTCTATGCAGAGCCAGGAGTAGCCTCTGAGCATCACCAGTCTGTGGACTAAAGCTTACCCTATCTCCCTGCAGGCTGGAAATAGCTCAAAGGCTAGAGGCTATGTATGGCATGTCCAGGGCCCTATTTTTGTTTATTTGGGGGCCATGCCTCGTGATGCTCAGGGCTTGTTCTTGGCTTTGTGACCAGAGATCATTCCTGGCAGGTTCAGGGGACCATATGGCCAAGCAAATGCCCTACCCCGCTGTACTATCGCTACAGCGCACATAGGACCTACCTGGGGGATTTGTTTCGGGTGCTTGGGGTGGTCATACTTGGGTTCTCAGAGAATGCTCCTGGATTGGTGCTTAAGGGAGCTCCTGGAAGTGCTTTGGGGAACATTCACTGCCCTGTACTCCAGGCCTCTGAGCTATTTCTCTGGGCCCAGGACCCTGGGTTTGGCCCCCTGCTGAGCACCCAGATATGGTCCTGCTGGCTCCCAGCAGTGAAGGCCTTCCCAAAAAATGGGGTAGGGGAGTCAAGGATAGAGTACAGCAGGGAGGATGCTTGCCTTGCATGTGGCAGGACAGGGTTCAATCCCCAGCACCACATATGTTCCCCTAAGCCTCTCCAGGTGTAAGCTCTGAGCACCACCAGGAGTGATCCAAAAAAAAAAAAAAAAGAAAGAAAGAAAGAAAGAAAGAAAGTGTGGACTTCGTTGAAGAAAACACTGTCACTGTCCTCCCGTTGTCATCAATTTGCTCAAGCGGGCCCAGTAACATTGTGAAACTTCTTGTTACTGTGTTTGGCATATCGAATATGTCACGGGTAGCTTGCCAGGCTTTGCCGTGCAGGTGAGATACTCTCGGTAGCTTGCCGGGCTCTCCGAGAGGGGCGGAGAAATCAAACCCGGGTCGGCCATGTTGGCTGCGTGCAAAGCCAATGCCCTACCCGCTGTGCTATCACTCCAGCACACGCCAGGTAATCATGCCACTGCTCCCTCACAGTACACAAGACTAGTAGGTGATTTTGTAATTTACCCGGCAAAGATTTTGGCCAAAGATTTTGCAACTTACCCAGTCTGAAAGAGCTGGAAGAGGGGAGGAATTAATAAAAGACGCAGAAGAAAAAAAGATTTGTGCTCTTTTATATGTAAAAAGTTTTCTGTTTTTTTTTGGGGGGGGGAGGGGAGGAGGCACATCTGGAAGTGCTCAGGGCTTACTTTTGTCTCTGAACTGAGGACCACTCCTAGAAGGGCTCAGAGAACCATATAGGGTGCTCGGGATTGAATCCAGTCAGATGCATACAATCTCTACTCACTGTTTTATTGTTCTGGCCCCTATTTATTTTATAAGGGAAGTTAGCAAGTTTATACCAGACATTTACTTATTGCTTTCTTTTAGTATGGGGCCACACTCAGCTGTACTCAGGGGTTACGCCTGGCTCTGTGCTCAGGGAGAACTCCTAGTAGGATTCATGGGGCTATTTGGGATACCAGGGATCAAATCTGGGTTGGCCACATGAAAGGCAAACGCCCTCTCTCCTGTACTATGCAAACACCCAAGCTGCTGTACTATCACTCCAGTCCACCATTACTCTAGATATTCTTAAAACAAGGTGGGAGGAAGAGGAGAAAGGTCTGGGTTCACTCGTTTAGCCACAGTCGGGACCTACTGTGAACTTGAACTTCTGTGCACACAGACCAGAGCAACAGCAAGAGAAGCCTGACATAATTATTTACTTACTCCCCGTGGGATAATTTTTTTAAAAACAAATCTGTATATAATGAGAACAAATTCTTGATCACTTGACTTCCCGTTAATCGTCGATTTGCTCGAGCGGGCGCCAGTAATGTCTCCATTTGTCCCTGTCGTGTGCTAGTGTAGCCCAATGGCGTCTGTTCGCTCTAGGAACGCGAAGAGACTCAAACTGATCGTTCATGATCATGATCATGAACAAGAACAAATTCTACAAATAATTATAATACAGAATTTGCTGCATTTAATCAATATTGCTTACTGTCTGGTTTTGTCTTGGTTTGGTTTTGGTGTCACTCAGCCATGCTCAATGGTTACTCCTGGCTCTGCACTCAGGAATTACTCCTGGTGGTGCTTGAAGGATCATAAGAGTTGGTGGAGATTGAACCTGGATCACCCATGTGCAAGGCAAATGCTCTAACCACTATACTATCTCTCCTGCTCTTATTGCTTAGTGCCTATAACCAAATTTATCCCAGAGGGAAGGGGATCAGGGCCCCTGGGTCACAGTGTCACTGTCACTGCCTCCTGGACCAGTGTCTGCAATGGATGAGATTGGATTTGACACAGCTGCAATTCATTTCTGTTTTGCTTTGGGGCCACACCCGTGAGGCTCAAGGGGTATCCTGGTCCTGTGCAGGTCTGTTCCCAGGGATGCTCATAGGACCAAGTGGTGCTGCAGACTGTACTTGGACCTCCCATTGGGATCAGCTTACTGAGCTATCATTCCAGCCCCTCAAAAGTTTCATTTTAGGGGGCTGGAGCGATAGCACAGCGGGTAGGGCATTTGCCTTGCACACAGCCAACATGGCTGACCCAGGTTCGATTCCCAGCATTCCATATGGTCCCCCGAGCACTGCAGGGAGTAATTCCTGAGTGCATGGGCCAGGAGTAACCCCTGAGCATTGCCGGGTGTGTTCCAAAAAGAAAAAAAAAGTTTCATTTTAAAGAAAAACCAAATGTTTCTTATTCTGCACCCAATTTCTACCTGTGAAAATTCTTCTCAATCGTTATAAGAAATCTTATAAACTTAAAATTCCTTTGCTTCATGACACACTGCTTTAGAGGGTTTCATAAACATAATGATAATTAGGGACCACAGAAATAGTACAATGGGTAAGGTGTCTGCCCTTGCATGCAGTCAACCTCAGTTCCATTCCTGACACCATGTATGATTTTTCCAAGTCACACCTGAAATGATCCCTCAGCACAGAGCCAGGAGTAAGCCCTGAGCACCATCGGATGTGGCCCCAAAACAAAACAAGAAAAATGTGTTCAATCTGGCAACCTGGTTATTGCTGTAGCAGAACAACAAGGGCCGGTGAGGCGGGCCAAAAAGAGAAAAGTTCGCCAGAAAGACCCCAGAACCTAAGCGGACCCGCTTCCACTTTGGGGTGTTTTTCCCACAGCCTCCATGATCTGCTGAACATGAAACATTTAATGCTGCTTGCTCCTCAAAAGCCTCTCTATTCAAAAAACTTGATGTTTGTCGTGCTACGATTCAAACGCAAGCCTCACACATGGACAAGCTCTCTACAGCAACCTACAATCCTCTGCTGACTCGGGAAGTTTATAAAAACCCCCAGCACCGCAGTCCCAGCCCACACTACTTAAATCAGAAAGTTGGAGGCCTAGGGAGACCCCAGAACCAGTAATTTTAGATCTACCCAGGCAATCCCCATGTGCAGCCAACGACAAAAACTACCTATATCTAATAAAATTCCCCCCCAGCACCATGCAAGATTTTGCTTTCAATGTATAAAAAGTGCTCATATATATATATATATATATATATATATACACATATAAATTCATTTCTCAGATGCAGGAAGATATACACTGATCCAAAGAGAAAGCTATAGGCATATACAGATGACTACCTTTCTGGTAACTAAAATCTTCCTAGAGGAAGACAGGAAAGCACATAAATGAAATATACACATGTCTAAGGGAGGTAGCATTGTGGCACTGTCCTCCCGTTGTTCATCGATTTGCTCGAGCGGGCCCAGTAACGAATATACAGATAAACTAACTTAAGAAAAATAATGGCCACGATTATTGATAGCTCAGTTGCGAAATTACCGCTCAAGGCCAAGCGCAGTTCTCTGGACGGATCGGAGCCCCGCCCCCGCCTCTGACTCCGCCCCCCCAGAGTGACGCAACCGGACGCGTGCGCAATCCGCGCCGGGCGCGCCCTTTCCGGGGCCTTGCTGAGCCTGCGCCCCGCCCCTTCGGGTCCGCCCCGCCCCTCCAGGACCGGCCCCGCCCTGTCCCCGCCCCCAGTTCAGCTAGGCCCCGCCCTTAGGCCAGCCTGGCCCCGCCCCTCAGGCCTGCCCGGGCCTCAGCTCGCGGCCGCGCCTCGCCCCCGGCCAGTCCAAGATGGAGGCCCCTCGGCGGGCGCCCTTCGCCCTCCGGCTGCTCCTGCTCGCCTCGCTGCCGGCCGCCGGCTGGCTGGCCACGACGGTCACCCCGGCACGGCCGCTCCGAGCCCCGGAGGTAGGGCAGGGCGCCTGGGCTCGGTTCCCGTCCGGGGAGGGCCCCGCCGGCCGGGCGACGGCGGCGTCCGCGGCGACGCTCGTGTCCTGCGAGCCCCGCGACCCCGGGAAGGAGGCGAGGGGCGCGACCCACCCCCCCGGGAAACGGGGAGATGCAGTCGAGGTGTCGCTTTTCCACGGGTCTCGTGCCGCGACACCTGCGCGCGGTGCTCCGGGGCCGGGGGCTGGGGGGTGGGGGGAGGGACGCGGCCCGTGTCCACCCCGACGGGGCTCTGCGGGATCCCCGGGTGGTCGCGGCCTCCGGCCGGGGGCGCGCCGTCCGCACAGGAATGTGGGGGCTGCTCAGGAGGAGGGACCCCTCCCGCCCTGGTGTCCCCGGCGGGCGGGGTCAGCGGGGACCCGGCCACCCGCCGCTTCTACCTGCCGAGGGGCGTCCCCCGGGAGAAAGACCCTGGGAGTCCGAGGAGGGTCCCAGCCGGAGCTGCCTGTCCGCCTCCCCCCTGACCCCCTGCAGAGGGTGCAGCATCTGCGCACCCTCCACTCCCCCCCAAATTGCGCCAGCGGCGGCCACTAAGGCCCTCTGGGTCGTTGGAGGGGTCAGGGGAGCTGCCCAGGTCCATGCCCAGTGGGGTCCGGTTGGAGGGCTCCTGGCGTTTCCCGTGCATTTTCCCCGGCCTCGGGGCTCCTGACAGTTTTATTTACCTTTCCTGAGTTGAAAGTACTGCACGAAAGGGTTTGGAGAGGGAAGGATTTTGTTGTTGTTGTTGTTTTTGGTTGGAGTTTTGGGGCCACACCTACACCTGGGGATGCCCGGGGGATTACTTCCGGCTCCTGGAGGAGCGGTGCTGGGGGAACAAATGGGACCTGGGGATGGAACCCCCCCGGCGGCCGGGCCGGGTGCAAGGCAAGCACCCTACCTGCTGCACGGTCCGTTCCCGCCTTTGCACAGTGGAGGTTTTAAAAGGCGTTTTTCCAGCAGGAAAAGAAACGACGGTACGGGAGTAACCCCAACAGCATGAAGGGCACTTTTAAAGTTTTTTTTTTTTAAGAAAAGGGGGAGGGGGGTGGGAGGGATACTGGGATTAGTGGTGGTGGAGAATGGGCATTGGTGGAGGGATAGGTGTTTGATCATTGTATAACTGAAACCCAAGCACAAAAATTTGTAAGTCTACAACTGTACCTCATGGTGTTTCACTAATAAAAATTTAAAAAAAAAAAAAAGAGGGAGGGGGACAGATTAAATTTTTTTTATACTTTTTTTTTTTTTTTTTTGCTTTTTTGGGTCACACCCAGCCCATGCTCAGGGATTACTCCTAGTCTTGCACTCAGGAATCACTCCTGGCGGTGCTTGGGGGACCATATGGGATACTGGGAATCAAACCCTGGTCAGCCGCCTGCAAGGCAAACGCCCTACCCGCTGTGCTATTGCTCCAGCCCCCCCCCTTTTTTTTTATATTTTTAATGTTTTCGAGTTAGGTACAAAAATAACACATCTCAGTTTAAGTTCATCTGGAGCATTACAGAAAGCCACCACGCATACATACAAGCGAGCATTTTAATGGACTTGTTGGTGAATGCAGTTTGAACACTGGTCAAAAATATGGATGTGATGGCAAGCTCTGAGACCAAATAAAAATGGAATCATTTATAACATCCTGAATATGGACATTGTTTTTCCATTTCTGATTTAAATGTAACATTTTTTTAGGGTGTGGGGCCCAGATCAGGTCTTGGGTGGCCACATAGAGTTCACTGAAGTAGTTGTGTGTGTGTGTGGGGGGGGGGGGGGGGTGCTGTCAGGGGCCATGCTGTGCCTGGAATTGAACCCAGGGCCTCCACGTGGCCTCTAGTCCTCTCAGCTCTCTCTCAGCTCCCCTTTCCAAATCCTAAAATTCGCCGTGGTCAGTTTCTAGGATTTGTAAAAGGGAACAAATAGTAGTAGGTTCCTATAATCTGAAAGAAAACCAAAACCATGCCTTTTGACTGCAGGCTGAAATTCCTTGGCGCTAGTGGACTCTTAATGTGTTCATCTCGTTTTCCCTTTTTATGCCCCTGTTCCCCTTTTGGAAAGTCAAGAGCCGGACTCAGAATCTCATAGGCTGTTGTACATGAATGCTGAGCGGTTATGAAAGAGAATCTCCTTCCTTGAAAATGTACAAATACATTGTGAACAACTTTATAAAAATAAGATTAAATTAAAAAATGTAGATGGGAAATGGAAACCACTTAATTTAAAAAAAAAAAACACTTTGTTGAGTGTGTCCTTGTGGAAGTTTTCAAATATACAGGACATGTGAAAGAATCTGAGAGGAGGACCATATCAGGTAAATTGCTGTCCAGTAGACCTTTGTGCCATGTTATGTCCTCACCAGGACAGGAGCACTGGACCCCCCTCCCCCGTGGGAACTGAGTGTGCTCCTCTTAATTAAATTGCTGTGTGTGGTCGGTGTGGACCAGATTGAAGAGTGCAGCCTCCCATTAACATTGGCTTGACTTGCTCTGTCACATACTTCTTCACCTTTGTCCTTTTTTTTTTTAACTCTTAAATATTTAGAAAAAAAAAAAACCTGAAATCAGGACATTTGTCTCTGTAATACCTCAGTGACTCAAACTTATTGGATTACGGGAATTTTTTTTTCTGTTTTGTTGCAATTAGCATATGTCCAAAGTTGAAGTTGAACAGATCATAAAACAGTAAACAACTGACAGTAAATTCTTCTCATAGTAACTCAGTTATCGAGGAGAGACGTGGAAAGAATAGACTTGGGCTTGGGTGGGGGGCCTCACCTGGAGGTAATTAGGGGCTACTCCTGGCTCAGTGCTCAGAGAAATTTCCTAATGGAACCCCGGGGATTGAACCAGGGTCTGCTACTTGAAAGGCAAGCACCTTCCCCATTGTACTCTATCCAGCCCAAGTATTTTTTTTTCCCACAGTGTGACCATGTTTATTTTATGTATTTCCCTTATACTCTTCACATCTATCCAGCCCCCCAGCAGGGCATCTTACACGTGAAGGAAGTAGAGAAAGAACTGAACAGGGCTGAGGAGAAACTTGAGTTCCATCATCCATATTTTCAGTATATGCTCCCCTCCATCATACTTGGAGTTCAGTCTCAGGTCTTTTCCCCTTTCCCTGTGTGTGCTTTTTCTTTTGTTTGTTTCTGGACCACCCCTGACACTTTTCAGGGGCTATTCCCCATCCCTTGCATGGATTTATTTCTTGTGGTACTCAGGGGCCCAGCCATTTGGTGCTGAGGCTTGAGCCCCCGCTTCCTGCATCCCATCCCTCTGAGCTATCTCTTCAGCGAGAGTACTTGTCAAGTGCGACCCAGGCTCTGTACGGTCTTTGTCCACTCTGTGTGTGGCCAGAAAGGTCGAAGCACTTGTCTACCACCTTGATGCTAACGGCCAGTGCCTGGGCGGGTGTGCAAGATAGGTACTGGACCGCAGATATGAAGAATGAAGAGGCTGCAGACGCTACTCCACACCTCAGGGCAGGAGGCCGTAAGGGCTGAGAATCTCTCCTGAAGAAAACTCACTCAGAAGAAACCAGAAATTGAGTTGAACGTGCTATGTGCTAGTGTCCATGCATTGTCTTTTCAGACCCCCATATTTTAAAATCGAATCTTGCACATTATGTAATTCTCACCTTGAAAGTCAGCGTGGTGGGAGGGGGGTGGCGGGGGCGGGCTGGAGCCATAGCACAGCGGATAGGGCATTTGCCCTCCACGCGACAGACCCGGGTTCAGTTCCCAGCATCTCATATGGTCCCCCGAGCACCGCCAGGAGTAATTCCTGAGTGCAGAGCCAGGAGTAACCCCTCAGCATCGCCGGGCGTGACCCAAAAAAGCAAAAAGCAAAAAAAAAAAAAAGAAAGAAAGTCAGTGTGCGTTTGTGCTATATTATGCTTACCGCTAGAAGTCCAGTTCTGTGCCTTACCAAGCACTTGTCCCCTTTGTCCTATTTGTCCCCTCTCCTTCTCCCTTCCTTCTGTAACCACTAATTGGTCTTTGTAGTCCAAGCTTTTATTACTGTTTCATTTAGTTCTTCTGTGTGTTTTCAATATGTAATGTGGTAATGTAGGAGTGACAATCATAATACAGTGTTTGTCTTTCTCCATCTGGCCTATTTCACTAAGCATGTACCCTCTAGGTCTATATTGTTGAAAACGCAGGATTTCATATTTGCCTCCCTTTTTTTTTAAAATCCATTTGTCTGCCATTTAGGTTACTCTCTATTATCTGGGGAAGCGATACATACAAGTGCAGTAAATTACAAATGAATAAAATGTCATATATGCATTACTGAAAGCAGAAGCTCTAAATCTTTCTTAGAACACCATCTAAAGTTGTTTCTAGACTGTAAGGATAGCGGTTTTCAGCTAACATCCTGTAGTTTGAAAAAGGGAATTTTGACTGAAATTTGGACACAAGAACAGTACAAGTTTCAGCCTGATCTCTTACTGAATGTTGGTTTGGTCTGGATAATAGAGTGATTCTAGTGGCTGGAGCAATAGTACAGTGGGTAGGACGTTTGCCTGGCACGTGGCCACCCTGGGTTCTATCCCCAGCATCCCATATGGTCCCCCAAGCACCTCCAGGAGTAATTCCTGAGTTGCAGAGCCAGGAATAACCCCTGAACATCGCCTGGTGTAGCCACCCCCTCAAATAATAGTGCTTTTTCTATACAGAGTATGAAGTGTCATTAATGATGTTAAAGTTTTGCATGTACCTTGAAATGCCCTCAGACTGGTTATGCAAATACTTGTCCAGGGACACCAAAGGATTCGCTCAAGCAGCTTTGTGTAGGAAAGCAATTCTTTTTTTTTTTTCTTGGCCTTTTGGGTCACACTGGACGACACTCAGGGTTACTTCTGGCAGGAATAACCCCTGAACATCGCCTCTGCACTGAGAAATCATTCCTGGTGATGCTTGGGCGACCATATGGGATGCTGAAGATTGAATCTGAAACGGTTGCTGCAAGGCAAATGCCTTAGCTGCTGTACTATCGCTCCAGACCTGGAAGACAGTTTTTTTTTTTTCTTTTTGGGTCACACCCGGTGATGCATAGGGGCCATTCCTGCAATTACCCCTGGCGGTTCTCAGGGAACCATATGGAATATGGGATGCTGGGATTCGAACCCGGGTCAGCTGCGTGCAAGGCAAATTCCCTACCCACTGTGCTATCGCTCCAGCCCCTGGAATACACCTTAAATGTCCATTTACAGTGGGTCAGATTGTACAGTCCTGTCAATAATTGGATGCACTCTAACTTCTGAGCCATCTCCCCAATCTAGTATTTCAGATTTTAACCTAGGGTGTAGATATAGAAGTATGAATCTTGCTTTTTTCTTTCCTGGGATGCTAGGGATTGAACCCAGGTCCCTTCCATGCAGTGCGCTTTGCCCCTCAGGTGCAGGCCTGGCCCTTAAATTTCACAATGACGTTTAATGTACTCCCGTGTGATACTTTATTTTACTGACTTATTATTTGGTTTGGCTGGAGCGATAGCACAGCGGGTAGGGCGTTCGCCTTACAAGCGGCCAACATGGCCGACCCGAGTTCGATTCCTCCGCCCCTCTTGGAGAGCCCGGCAAGCTACCGAGAGTGTTGGATATGCCAGACACATTAACAACAAAGTCTCCAATGGAGACGTTACTGGGCCCGCTCGAGCAAATCGACGATCAACGGGAGGGCCTTTACCTTTACCTTTATTATTTGGTTTGGGGGCTACACCTGGCAGAACTCAGGGCTTACTCTTGGCTCTGTGCTCAGGGGACTACATGCAGTGCCAGGGATTGAGCTCTGGGTCTGTAAGCTCTGGTGGTGCTGAGAGCTTTCGCCTGGCTCTGTGCTCAGGGACCACTCTTCGTGGACGCAGGACCATATTGGACACCAGGAATAGAACCCAGGTTGGCCATGTGCAAGGTGCCCTGCCTGCTGGATTGTCTATCGCTCCAGCCCAAAGGGAAGCACTTAAAACTCTGTAATCCAACCTCTCCCTGTCATGTATTTTGTAATTAATTGAAAAACGTATTGGCATTATGAGTGCAGTTCTATAAAAGACCGCAAAACTGAAAATTTAGGTTGTTTTTTTTTTAAACTTTTACATTTTAAATATAGCAAGAGGAGAAAGAACTGGGTTATTCTTGGGAAACACTTAACTGTCTAACTTACATAATATTTGCTTTGCAGGAGGGCATCAGAGTTAATGTCACTACCCTGAATGATGATGGAGAAGTAGTCCAGGAACAGGTTTGTCTTATGATTATGTTTTTAATATTTCACTTCACTGTCTCACGGCATGTTTTGTTTTTACCTGTGTATGTGAACTAGATAATGCATTTTAAGATAATGCATTTTTAAGTTTGTCATTATTTTTAAACCATCGGAATTAATGTATATGCTGCTTTATTTTAAGGTGGTTCTTAACATAACCTATGAGAGTGGACAGGTATATATAAATGACTTCCCTGTAAATAGTGGTGTAACCCGAATAAGCTGTCAGACCTTGATAGGTGAGTACTACTAAATTATTTTCATAATTGTTCTGCTTTTGATATTACTCAATGAGTAAGACAGTTCTCCAACATTGTGTTTCCTCTGAAAGTGAACATAAATGATGATTAGAGAATATAGCACAAGTGTGTCTATAACATTTTTTCTTCTTTATATTGGTTATTCTTGGCATGTTTGCATTTTTTTCTTTCATGACACTGTCATTGATGGGAACTGCATTTCTGGTAGGTTGACGCCAGCAGAAGAATGTGCTTATAGTAGAAAATGGAGATTTACAAGCAAGAGGCAAAAATTGTAGAGGATTGCTTATCACAGTTGTGAAAAAGTTTAAAAAGAAAATTGTCCTGACTCTCAGGGTATTTGTTTCTTCCACCTTTATTTCACATAATTTGTTTTTTTGTTTTGTTTTAGAGAATGTTTTATTGGGGTGGGGGGAGGTTAGAACGGTTGCACATCTGTTGGTGACCAATTCCTGGCTCTGTGCTCAGGGACCACTCCTGGCAGGGCTCAGGGGACCATGTGTGGTGCTGGAGATTAAACCTGGGCCACATGTAAGGTGAGCAACCTACCGTCTACTGTCTCTCCAACCTGATTTTTCTCATCTGTTTGTTTACTTTATTTCCTTTTCCTCTTTCCTTTTTATTGTCGATGATGTGGTGACTGGTGGGGTCTCACACACACACACACACACACACACACAGTCAAGATCACAATACTGAGGTTTGAATTTTTTTTTTTTTTGCTTTTTTGCACACACGCACCCTATGGTTCCCGCACATTTTATTTATTTATTTATTTATTTATTTTGCTTTTTGGGTCACACCTGGCGATGCACAGGGGTTACTCCTGGCTCTCTCTATTCAGGAATTACTGCTGGCGGTGCTCAGGGGACCATATGGGATGCTGGGAATCGAACCTGGGTTGGCCGAGTACAAGGCAAATGCCTTACCCGCTGTGCTATTGTTCCAGCCTCCGCTCTCGCACATTTTTAGCAGTGGTGCCAGTCAGGAATCCCATTCACTGAGGTTTGACTTTTTTGTTTGTTTTTTGCACACGCGCACACACATACACACACACACACACACACACACACAGAGTCAGGAATCACATTCACTGAGGTTTGACTTTTTTGTTTGTTTTTTGCACACACACACACACATACACACACACACACACACAGAGTCAGGAATCACATTCACTGAGATTCACTGAGGTTTGATTTTTTTTTTTCTGTACACACACACAGAGTCAGGAATCACTTTCACTGAGGTTTGACTTTTTTTTTGCACACACACACACACACACACACACACACACACACACACACCCTATAGTTCTCGCACATTGTTAGCAGTGGTGCCAGTCAGGAATCACATTCACTGAGGTTTGACTTTTTTTCTTTTAGTACACATACACACACACACACACACACACACACACACACACACACCCTGTGTATAGTTCTTACACATTTTTAGCAATGGTGCCAATGAGCATTCACTGAGGTTTGACTTCCTTTTTATTTTTTTGCTCTTTGGGTCACACCCAGCAAGATGCTCAGGGATTACTCCTGGCTCTGCACTCAGGAATGACTCCTGGCAGTGCTCAGGGGATCATATGGGGTGCTGGGAATCTAACCTGGGTTGATCGCGTGCAAGGCAAACACCCTACCCGCTGTGCTATCACTCCAGCCCCAAGGTTTGACTACTGTGTAGTTTGCACACATGTTCGCCGGGAGTCACACTCTTAGTCGAGGTTTAAAGCTCTGGCTGTGATGTTTGCCAGGGCTCACCGCGTTGCTCCTCCCCACGCCCACCAAAGGGTGGGCAAGCTCCTTGGCCTTGGTGCTCGTGTATCTTCTTAACTGCTATGCAGTTAGAAGTTGCTTGTGAAGCCAGGGATCACAGAGACCAGAGCTGCCAGTTTAGTGATTGCACTGAACAATCCCCTCGATCCCTACAGATTTAGAACTGTTGTCTTCCTTTGAGACCCACATTTCTGGGGGAGGGACCACCCACGGTGCTCAGGGGTGACTCCAAGCCCAGGATTTGGGAACTGTGGCACTGTGACCTGAGCTGGGGCTTCTGCAGGGAAGACACGAGCACTGCCCTTGAGAGCTGCCCTTACTGGAAGCGACGTGCCTGGCTCGGTCAGGCTCAGGTGCACTTAGCTTTCTCTCTGGAGGGTTGACGGGGACAGGGTTTCTTCTCACCAGTTTTCAGTCTTGCTGGGCCCTCATAATTAAGGTGAATCACGTAATTTTAAATTCACTCTTTTATTGGGACTTTTACTTGAATACACTAGCAGATAAATCTTCCATCTTATTGCGTCCTACTTGTGGCCCGTCTTTTTCTCTGTTCCTTTTTTCTTCCCCTTTTTGTCCACTCTTGGGACATTTTGTTTTGTGGTTTCCTTCTACCGTGTATTTTTCTTTACTGTTTTGGTGGTTACCATTGAGATCAGCAAATTCAGACTGTTACTGTTTCTCAGACAGTGCAGGGACCTTAGCCCACTTAAACTCAGTTCACTCCCTTTCGACTCTGTGCAGTTATCATGCATTTAAACTCTATGTTCTATGTGACATAATCATGGATTTCTGTACTGATGTTTGCTCATGACAGACAGAATGCACACCAGCCCCATCCTGTTGCCAGAAAGGGGCCCTCCACTATTGTCCCACCCTTGTCCTTGTCCTTGCCCTTCCAGTAACCACCGTAGTTGACAGCGTTTCTGGAGGTTAGTTTTATTGGATTTTGCTAGTGTATTTGTTTTATTTTTTTATTTATATTTTGCTTTTTGGGCTGGAGCGATAGCACAAGGGGTAGGGCGTTCGCCTTGCACGCAGCCAACACAGCCGACCCGAGTTCGATTCCTCCACCCCACTCGGAGAGCCCGGCAAGCTACCGAGAGGATCTCGCCCACACGGCAAAGCCTGGCAAGCTACCTGTGACATATTAGATATGCCAAACACAATAACAATTGTCACATTGGAGACGTTACTGGGCCCGCTCAAGCAAATCGATGAACAACGGAGGTTACTTCTGGCTGATGCACTCAGGAATTGCTCCTGGCGGTGCTCAGGGGACCATACGAGATGCCAGGAATCGAACCCAGGTCGGCCGTGTGCAAGGCAACTCCCTGCCTGCTGTGCTATCGCTCCAGCCCCAGTGTTTTTGCTTTAGTAGTTCATGTTCCACGTGTGAGTGAAGCCTTGCAATAAGCGTCTTTCACTTCCTTCTTCCACTTGGCATATAATCACCCCCAGTTCCAGCTCTTTGTCCCACAGGCTCACTTTCATGCATGCAGACCCCAGCGTCCTGACTCATTCACTGCCAGTGGGCATCTGGGTTCACTGTGAATGTGCTGTGAGCTTCGGGGTGCAAATACCCTTTAGAGTGCATGTATTCCTTCCCCAGTGCCTGGGTGACAGGGGAGCCGCGTGTTTTGAGAGCAGACTGTCCGTCCTGACTGTGCAGTGCTGCGTGGGCTCTGGGCACGCCTGCTCGCAGGCATGCTGCCGTCACCAGGGCAAGGCCAGAGAGATTTTTTTTCTCTGCCTTTGGTTTTCGGTGGGTTTTCAGATGTGTCCACGTGTGGGTTTCTTTTACTGTATGATCTAATGGTGTCGCTTGCCAGTTGGGGGGAAGTTTTGACGATCAGATTCGATCAATGCTGCTTCCTCAGCCGCTCTGTCTTTCTCGCTCTCCCTATCGGTCTGTGTCTCCCAGAGGGAACACAGGGAGACCGAGGGGCCCAGTATTTAGGTTGGACTTGCCTCAGGTATGACTGTTTGTCTAAGAAAGTAGGTTTCCAGGGGGGTGCTTAGTGATTTTTTTCCCTATACAAGGGGTAGTAGGTCAAATAAGTTTGGTAATCTCTGATCTTCGTATTTGACTTTCTCAAGGCTCTGTTTGTGATATAAACTCTTTTTTTTTTTTGGTTCCGTCCTGATTTATTTCCACCAGATATGTCTAATTGATTTAGTTTATGTCACTTTATTTCTAAAATTCTCTTTTTTTTTCTTTCTGCTTTTTGGGTCACACCGGTGATGCTCAGGGGTTATTACTCCTGGCAGTGCTCAGGGGACCATATGGGATACTGGGAATCGAACCCGGGTCAGCTGCGTGCAAGGCAAACGCCCTACCTGCTGTGCTATTGCTCCAGCCCCTCTTTTTTTTTTCTTAGAAGAAAACTTTTCTTGTGGTTGAAGTAAAATTACATCATTATAGTATGAGCACATATGGTTGTGATGTACACAGTTCCTTCCTCTTTATACCTCCGCTCAGTCACTCACAGCCGAACTGGCCGACAGCTGCCTCAGTGGCAACGGCGGACACGTCGGCTTCCGTCCCTGCTTCGCTGCTCCCTGGGATCTTGTCTGACGGGATTCCTCTGCAGTCTTAACCTTCACTTTAATCCCATGAGGCTGAGGCTGCCAGGAGCAGAGTTCTCCTTCTCTCCTTTCAGTCACTGCTTTTACTTCAACTCTCCAATTTCTCTGCCTATTCAGCTTGAGAATTGGCAGGTGCCTGTGGGGCTTTGGCTGCCTTGGCAGTGCTCTGGGCCTCCAGTAGATAGATGCTGAAGTAGAGATTTGTGGGTTTTGGGTTTTTTTTTTTTTTTGGCTTTTGGGTCACATCTGGTGATGCTCAGGGGGTCTTTCTGGTTCTGCACTCAGGAATCACTCCTGGCAGTGCTCGGGGGAGGTAATATGGTCATATATATGGAATGCCAGGAATCGAACCCAGGTCGGCGGCATGCAAGGCAAATATCCAGCCTGCTGTACTGTCGCCCCAGCCCCTTGTAGTTCTTTTTTTCACATCTCCAGTGATGCTTCATAATCAATTTGTTATCGCTAGTTTATCATGGCTTCAAGAGAAGTTATCCCAGGTCTAATTAAGAATTCAGGGGACCGGGGCTGGAGCGATAGCTCAACGGGTAGAGCTTTTGCCTTGCACACGGCCGACCTGGGTTTGAATCCCAATATCCCATATGGTCCTCTGAGCACCACCAGGGGTAATTCCTGAGTGCAGAGCCAGGAGTAACCCCTGTGCATCGCCGGATGTGACCCAAAAAGCAAAAAAAAAAAAAATTCAGGGGACCAAAGAGATGATAGCTGTGCAGGCACACTGCTCAGGGACCACTCCAGGTGGTGCTCTGGGGTTCAGATATGGTACCAGGGATCTAATTGAAGTCCCCATGTGTGGCAGCAAGTACTTTACCCCTGTATTATCCCTCCACCCCTGTATCGATTCTTTTTTTTTTTTTTTGAGGAATCCTGTTGTTTTTTGGGGGAGAGGGGACACACCTGTATGTGCTCAGAGCTTATTACTGCTTCTACACTCAGGAATCACTCCTGACAGGCTCAGAGACCATCTGTGGTGCCAGGGATGGAACCTGGCCACATGCAAGGCAAGCACCTTCCCTGCTGTGCTAGCGCTCTAGCCCCCATTCTTCTTATTTTTTAAAAAAATTTTTTAAATTTAATTTAGAAAAGCCAGGGCTGCAACTCAGTGGCAGACTGCACACTGCACTTGTATGGGGTTTTGGGTTCTACTCCTGGCATTGTAAAAAAATTTAAAATTACATACGATGTCTCTACACATCAGAGATTGTGAGTTTTTTGTTTTTCTTTTGGGCCACACTGGCTGTACTCAGGGCTTACCTCTAACTCTGCCAGGGATCACTCCTGGCAGGCTCGGGAGTGTACCGGGAATCAAACCCAGGTCGGTGGCTGCAAGTCAAGCTCCTACCCACTGTGCTCTTGCTCGGATCCACCCCAGAGATTCTGGTCTTTTGCGGTTAAGGTGCTCCAACCCTGGGGTCTGTGATTTCCCACTGGATTCTGATACGTAGTTAGGATTTCCAGCCACTGAATCAGCTGTGAATGTTGTTGAATGTTGAATGAATGTTGTTGAATAAACAACATTCACTGGATACTTTGTGATGATACATTACTTATTCATTTATTTATTGTTTGGAGGCCACATTTGAGTTTACTCCCTGTATTGCTGGGATTTGAATCTGGGCCTCTCATATGCAAAGCATGTTCTCCAGCGCTCTCTCTCTCCTCTCTCTCTCTCTCTCTCTCTCTCTCTCTGTCTCTCTCTCTCTCTCCTCTTTCTCTCTCAAAGTTCTGGATGGAATCATTGCTTAACTAAAACTGTAGAACGATGACCTTGATGCATACTTCCATAAAATTCATCCTAGTGAAGAGAATTCATCTTTCTACACTGAGAACTGTACAGCTCATTGACAAAGATCCTCACTCCCACTCAGCATGAATCCAGCACTGTTGGTGGAGAGGGTTAGCATTACATTGTGGGGTAGTTGAAAAATACGTGGTTGGGGGCTGGAGCGATAACACAGTAGGCAGGATACTAGGATACTTGCCTTGCACATAGCTGGTCTAGGTTCAGTCCCTGGCACCTCATATGGTCTCTGGAGCCTAGCAGAACTGCTCCTAAGAGCACAGAGTGATCGCCTGAGCACTACCCGGTGCGGTCCAAAAAAAACCAAAAAGCAAAAAAAGGTGGTTGGCGGGGAGGTAAATGTCAAGAGTGTTCAGTTAAGTGATTTAGCAATATAGAGGAATGGAATCCATTTAAACAGCTGCTTCTGCGTTTAGAATATACAGAATATACACCTGAATTCCCGCTTGACAAGTGATCTAAAGACAATCAAATTTGAGGGACAGGAATTACTTTTTTTGCAGAAATTTCACTGATTTTTGTTAATTTATCTTTTGTGCATGTGTGTTGCTCAGGGGCTATTCATCGTGTGTGTGTGTGTGTGTGTGTGTGTGTGTGTGTGTGTGTGGCACTCCCTGCCTCACAGTAGCAGTTGGCTCTGGAAACAGAATGTAACTGCTCCATGCCTTCCCCAGGAGGGTGGGATTGGGGTTGGGGGGCGGGTGGTGTCTTGAGCATGGCAGTAGCTAATCCTACGCTGTTGTCCCTGAGGGAGTAATTACAGGGCTTTCACACTCTCACACATTCCTGAGCTCTCCACAGTAATGAGTACTTAGTGGGGAGAGAGTTGAGGGGAAAACTTAGTATCCTTAGTGCTTGGTCCCTTTCTGTCACTGCGAGTGAAACAACGTGTGGATGGGGCTAAGAAGTAGCTCTGTGGGCTAGAGCACGTGCTCCACACACAGGAGCTTAACTCGGTCCCTGGCACTGCACAGTCTCCCGCGCACAACTGTCTGCAAGCAGCCCCTGAGCACCGCAGGTGTTGCCTGAGAAATAAAAGGATGGATGGATGTGTGGACGGATGGACAGGTGAATGGGTGGGTGGGTGAGTGGATGGGTAGATGAATGATGGGTGGGTGCATGGGTTGGGTAGATGGATGGGGGGATGGGTGGATGGATGCAGAGGTGGGGAGATGAGTAGATAGATGAATGGGTGGGTAGATGGGTAGGTGTGTGAATGAATGCATGGAGAGGGTGGGTGGATGGATTGACAAGAGACGGACCACAGATGGGCTTACTTGGCTTAACAATGCTGTTTGTTCTTGATTGACAGTCCATGTAAGATAGGAAAGATGTGACTTAGAAGGGGCGTTTGAAACAAAATCTGAAGACTTAAGCATTTTCTTCTTTTTCTCCATGACTGTGAGCATTGTAATGAATTGCCAGTCTCTGTAGTTTCCATCAGTTGGAAATATCACTGAGGTTAGAGAGGAAGAAAGCCAAAGAAATTGTCGTACATGTGGCAGTCTATAAGAGGTATGGTGGCGTTTTTTTCATTAAAGCTGTCACTGCCTTTTTTTTTTTTATATAGTGAAGAATGACAATCTGGAAAATCTGAAGAAAGAGTATTTTGGAACTGTCAGTGTAAGAATTTTAGTTCATAAATGGCCTATGACGTCTGATTCCAGATTGCAACTAATTGTCATTCAAGAGGAGGTGGTCGAGATCGATGGAAAACAAGTAAGATATGCTAATGAATTGGGAATTACATTGTGGAGAGATGTGCTGGGTATTATGTATGTGTTCACAATTATTTCTGACTTGATAAAAAGAGAAAAGTACCTTCGCATGTTGCCTTTTGTTTTTATATCGTCTGACCTCTGAAGGCTTAACTTTCTGAAAACTGGTTACATTCATCCACAAAAATATTATAACCTGGGCTGGAGTGATAGTACAGCAGGTAAGTAGGGCACTGACATGTTTGATCCCCAGCACCCTCTATGGTCCTCTGATCCTGGCAGGTGTGATCCCTGCGTGCAGAGCCAGGAGTAAACCCTGAGCATCACTGGTGTTGCCCAAAAACAAACAAAAAAGGAGGAACATTGGACTGAGGTGTGGCATGGTAGGAGAGCACTTGCCTTGCCTTTGGGAAGCCCTGGGTTCTGTCCCTGGCACCACAAAATAATTATTATTATAGCGGTATATATATGTGTGTATATCTATGAAATGAGCATCATTTTTGTTTTTGGACCACACCAAAACTATAGTACCCCTGCGTTTGGCAGTACACAGGAATACACCTAGCTCTCACTTTCATGGATCACTCACGGCAGTGCTCAGGGAACCGTATGTGGTGCCAGGGTTGAACTTAGGTCAGCCACATGCAAGGCAAGCACCCTACCCGTTGTACTATTGCGCTGACCCCAAAACGAACCTTATACAGAGCAAATCAGTGAAAAGACTGAATATGGCTCAAAGCTCTGCAGCTATTTCTTCTGAGAGTCTCTAAGTAAATGAAATGGCCTCAACGCAGCTTTATAATCGTGCTCAGGCACATGGGGATATGAGTAAAGTCATGAATTAGATGCCTCAAAATGGGTACGAAATAAAGCGTGTGTAAATGAGAAACTTCTTGGGGATAGAAGAGATCAGAAGGAAAAATTGTTTCACGTGCTCCTGGATTGTGCCATTATTTAAAACATAAAGGCTTATTTTATTCTTTCACAGGCCCAGCAGGCGGAGGTGACCGAAATGAATATTTTAGTTAAGAACCTGGGAGAACTCAGACGTTCCAGGTACACGGTGCCCCTGGAGGAGAGCATGCTGCACTCGGCTTCCCGGGCCAGCGACATCCTGTTTACCCTTCCCAACCTCGCCAAGAAAGGTACTTGAACAGGCAGGATGGAGAGTCTTACAGAAATGATTTTTTTTTTTTTATGGGTGGGGGGAGGTGCACACCTGCCTGTACACAGGCTTCCTCTTGGCTCTGCTCAGGGGATCTTATCTCATACGGGGTACTGGGATTGAATCCAGGTCAGCCGCATGAGAAGCAAGCACCCTACCCCACGGTCTTATCTCTCTGGTCCTGAGAAAAAAAAATTTTTTTTCTTTCTTTTTAAACTTTATTTATATTTGCTTTTTGGGTCCCACCGGGTGATGCTCAAGAATCAGTCCTAATTCTGCACTCAAGAATTACTCTTGGCAGTGCTGTTGGGACCATATTGAACCCAGACTGGCTGCATGCAAGGCAAACACCCTACCTGCTGTACCATAACTTCGGCCCCCGGAAATGATTTCTTAGTTGGTCAATTTTTCGCTCATAAATATAGAAATAGGCGTCTCGGTGACTTGACTTTTTCTCCTTCTAGAAAGTGTTGGTTCGTTGCAAACCACCAGCCCGTATCTTATCAGGAATGTGGAAACCACAGTAGATGAAGATGCTTTACCCGGCAAGTTACCTGAGACACCTCTCAGAGCCGACCCCCCGTCTTCATATAAGGTAAAGCCGTTGTTTTTTTTGGGGGAGGGGTATTTCTGTAGTGTAAGCACTTAGAATTAAGACAAAGAAAATAGCATTTAAAGTGAGGTTGAAATCCTGAAGATGAAAATCCAGAGTGTTAGTAGGAATGGCTTCACCACGGTTGTTTTTATTCCCGTTCCCCTTTGCCATACGATGATGATGATGATGATGATGATGATGATGATGATGATGATGATGATGATGATGTGATGACCAGGGGTTTGGCTGTGACACACCTTAGCTCTGACGCTCACCCACCTGCTCACTTGGTCACAGTGCTCACTGAGTCTGCCCTCCTGGTTGTGGGCACGTGCTCACTGGGCTCACGCTCTCAGTTGAAGCACACGGGTTTGGATTGTGGGGTGGCTGGTAGTCACGTGCTTGCCAGGGGTGCAGCCTCTTAGCAGGGTGCTCACCTCACCACTGGGACTTAGCTGGGCTCACGCCCCTTCCTTCGGTGCGTCCACACACCTGGCTGCCATGTGGCCAGAAGTCGTTTGTACCACGAAGGATCAGACAGCAGAGCTACCGAGGTTTTGTGTGGCATCGGTGGGACACGGGATTTGAACTTGGAACCATGTGCTTGCCAGGCTGGTGCTCTAAGCCCTGAGCTAGTGCTCTGGGCCCCTCATCACAGGTCTGGTGATATTTTTTGGGTGTTTTTAGATTTTTAGGTTGTTTGGGGCCATGTCCGGCAGTAGTCAGGAGCTGCTCCCAGCTCTGTGTTAGGGGTTGCTTCCCCTGATGCTCTGGGCCTCCTGTAAGCAGAGTGCATGCTCCAGCCCTTTAGGCAGTATCTCTGGCTCCAGTTTCTTTTTAATTAAAAAATAAGTTTCAGGGTGAGAACAAGAGTATGGCAAGTAAAGCTTTGCATGCGGCCGGCCCAGGATTCATCCCTGGCACCTTGTGTGGTCCCCTGAACCCACTTAGGGCTGATCCCTATGTGCAGAGCCACGAGGAAGTGATCTGATACTGATTTGATTTTGTTACCTGTCTTCAGTCTAACATATTTTTCATATCCTTGTTTATTCTGATTCTTCCCTTCCCTACACACACACCTTGTGCTTCCCTTAGGATCCAGTGACCAGGCACATTTGGTTAAGCGCACACACACACACACAAATGCATGCGCGCGCGCACGTGTGTGTTTGTGTGTAATTTTTTCCCCCTACTTTCTTGTGGAGCAGGGGGTGGGCATACGCGCGCACGTGTGTGTTTGTGTGTAATTTTTTCCCCCTACTTTCTTGTGGAGCAGGGGGTGGGCATACCCAGTGGTGCTCCTCGTTGGGCTCAGGACCGTATGTGAACCTGGGTCAGCCACATGGAAGGCAAGTGCCCACCTGCTGTCTTGTCTTTCCAGTCCCAAGAGTCCGTTTTCTCATGTGACACTGTAGGCTTCAGTCTTGGTTTTGCCACTTGCTTGGGGTGTGACCTCTTGGGCAAGTTCCTAGCCCCTGTGACCTCAGGATCTCAGTTCCCTGGGACACGCAGTGCCTTTGTAGAGTGGTCGTGGTGAGGATTTGGTAAGGGGGTACAGATGTAGACAGGCACTGACACCCAGGTGTTACTAGTGGCAGGACTCTGCTGCTTGCAGACATCCTCAGGGGACGGGGGAAGAGCTGTGATGCGCCATTCATTGACTAGGCCCCACTGAGTCTCAGATGATTTTCAGTTAATGAGCAAGATCCCAAAGATCTCCAACATTAGTCTTTGAAGACTCTCCCTGCAGGTTGGAATTGCTGTGCAGGGTTGCTGGTGATACCGGAACTCTGGTGTGCCCACCTCACTCGGGCCAGGCCAGACTGTCTGGAAGCCTGTTACTTAGCCTGTGCCTTAGTTTCTTCTCTCAGTGGAAGCTTCGTCACCAGTGAACTTCCCATTGGTTCTAAAAAGCTTCTGATGCTTATCTTTCCAACCACTGCAAACAGTCGATGCTGTCATTTTGTGGAGAATAACCCAAATCGCGTCACTTCTTGTCAGCAGTTAATCATTTTCACTTGATTATAGTGAAGAAGGCATATTGAATATGTCACAGGGAGTTTGCCAGACTGCAGTGCGGGCAGAATACTTTTGGTAGCCTGCCAGGTTCTTCAGAGTAAGAACTAGGTAATAAGAGAGCTGGGTTCTATAGTCTCTGGGTCTTGGCCGTTGATGGGATTACACGGCGCCAGGGGCATTTGGTGGGTGTAACGCCTACCTACTGGAAGATGGGGGATCTGGGTGGAGGAGTCCTAGTCCCGATCTAAGGTTTGGAGATCTAAGCCCCGGGTCCCAGGATTCCTCTGCCAGTTCCTTAAAGCGTGAGGCTCATCCGAACATGTGGAGAGTGGTTTTAAGCATGGCTGTGGCTGGAACCGGAGGTCTTCAGCTGCCAAAAACCAGTAACAATGATGGGTCTCATTGTCCTGACCCTGAAAGAGCCTTGTATGTGGCACTTTCTAAAATTTCAGGGCTAGGATGAAGGAGACATTACTGGTGCCTGCTCGAGGAAATTGATGAACAAGAGGATGACAATGATACAGTGATAGTAAAGAAAACAGTATGTCATTGTAAAGTGTGTGTGTGTGTGTGTGTGTGTGTGTGTGTGTGTGTGTGTGTGTATCAGCGGTGCTCAGGGCTTATTCTTGATTCTGCATTCAGGGATCACTTCTGGTGAGGCTTGGAGACCGTATAGGGTGCTGGGGTAGAACCCAGGTGAGGCAAGTGCCCGACCCACTGGTACTCTCTCCAGCACCAGAGCATAATGTTTAAGTGGCAAATAACAGCATGAAGTACATTAAAATTAAAGTGCATCCAATTTTATTTTTTGCCTTGGTCCTTCCAATTGTACTACTGAGGGGCCTAGAGGCCACAGACAGTGACACCCAGCTCACTGCTAATCTGACAGTGCTTCAGTGTTTGGGCTTGGTGGTTTTGGAGGCCACTCGGAATACACTTGAGCAACCGCTTGGGAAGCCTGGTGGTGCTGGGACTCAAACTCGGGACTTTATGCATGCCTGGCATGCGCCCTAGCCTTCTGAGCTCTCCCTGGCCTATGGGGAACGTCTACTTTTTTTTGTTTTGTTTTGTTTTGGGGCCACACCTGGTGGTACTCAAGGCTTACTCCTGGCTCTGCACTCAGGGATCAGTTCTTGTGGGGATCCAACCCAGGGCAGCCCCTTGCAAGTACCTACTTACCTACTGCATGCTATTCTATTGCTTCAGCCGCCAAAATATTTCACCGTTAAGTGTACACTTAGATAGGTTTGGGCGAACGTAGACAGATACCATGCAGCCATCTGTCACCACTATCAAGATCCGGAATACTAGTGTTTTTGGGTTCGAGATAAGTAGGGCGCTGCCTTGCCTTGCACGCCCTCGACCCAGGTTCTATCCCCAGCCTCCCATAAGGTCCCCGAGCATGGCCAGGAGTGCAGAGCCATTGTGGTTCCCCACCTGGACCTCCCCTCCACCCAAAAGAAGTTGGATTAAAAGTATTTTAGAAGTTTGTTAGGATACATACTTAAACACATCTTCTCCCCCGCCCCCCCCCCTTTTGGCAGGTAATCTGTCAGTGGATGGAGAAGCTGAGGAAGGACTTGTGCAGGTTCTGGAGTAGTGTTTTCCCAGTCTTCTTTATGTTTTTGAACGTCATGATGGTCGGGATTGTAGGAGCATCAGTGATAATCACCATCCTAAAGTTGCTCTTCCCGGTCTGTGAGTACAAGTAAGTATTTCTTTCAGAAACAGTATTAGAATTTTCAGTGCGCAGTAGTGAAGACATTGTTGAAGACCTTTATGGAGTCACTCGTCATGGGTACTCACCTGGGAGTAAGCGATCTCTACCATTTAGAACATAATGTGTTAGCGAAAGGAAACGCCTGTCGTGGGAAATGCAGTATATGTGTGCTTCTCCCCCCTTTCAGTTTGCATGTCCCCCACTTCCTTGTGACAGTGAGATAAGAGGACTTCGCTGATGGCTCCCTTGAAAATGAAGATCTTCTCGTAGGGGAGCGTAGCATGGCACCTTGCAGGTGTCTTATAAAGGGGCCCATACGGGATGGGGTTCTGCAGCCTGTAAAAGCTGAGTTGGGACCGGAGAGAGAATGCAGCAGGCGCTAGCCTTGCCCGCGGCCAACTTGGGTTCGAACCCCAGCACCATATATAGTTTCCCCAAGCACTGTCAGGTGTGATCTCGGAACAAAGAGCCAGGAGTAAGTCCTGAGCACTGCCAAGTGTGGCCCTAAAACCAAACACATGAAAGTTAGGCCACACCCAGCAATGCACTGGGGTTACTCCTGGCTCTACACTCAGGAGTTACTCCTGGTGGTGCTTGGGGGAACCATATGGGATGCTGGGAATCGAACCTGGGTCGGCCACATGCAAGGCAAATGCCCTACACACTGTGCTATTGCTCCAGAAAAATAGCTTTGTGTGCTGAGCACCTGCTTTGCAAACTAGAGCTCCAGGTTCCATCCCCTGATCACCAGGAGTGACCCCGCAAGCAGAGCCAGAAGTAGCCCCTATGTACCACCAGAGTGGTCAGAAACAACAATGTATGGTGGTTCTCTTGTGGCCATGTAGTCATCTTGGTAGTCATAAAAGCAGCCAACCTGTTTGATTGGGTGACCCTGAATTTGCAGTTGCAGGGCATTGGATGGGGCTGCTCTGGTCAGGCAGGTCACTGAGTGACAGAGGAAATGCGCTAGGTATCTAGGGTTATACTCCACTGAATCCTACTTAGGAAGCTTTGGGGTAGTCTTTTGAACCAACCTGTGCAAATCTAGAGCTTACAACCTTCTAGACCTCTGGTTTGGTTAAGTGAATCAGAGGCACAGTAAATCAAAGGCACTTCTTGCCAGGTTATTTTATTACGTACACTCTAAAGTAGCCCCACCTTTTGTTTTGTGGCCATACCTGGTGATGCTCAGGGGTTACTCCGAGCTCTATACTCAGGAACTACTCCTGGTGGTGCTCGGGAGACTATTTGGGGTGCCAGGGATCAAACCTGGGTTGGCCATGTACAAGGCAAGCATCCTACCTGATGTACTATCGCTCCAGTCCCTGAAGTCACCCCATGTTTTTTATTCTTAATTTTTATTTCAGAGGAATTCTTCAGCTGGATAAAGTGGACTTTGTGCCAGTGACAACCAAGAACTTATATCCAGATGGTCCTGAGAAAACAGCAGAAAGCCTTGAAGATAAAACATGTATTTAAAATACCATCTCAGACCATGGACTCTGATTTAGACCATCGACTATATATTTGCAGCAACTTGATTATAATTCTTTAAATCATTGAGTCATTTTATACACAAAAAATGGCTAAGCTCCTAAAACTGCCAAAAACTTGACCTTTAAGTGACCAATTCATCTGATTTCTGTAACAGGGCTGGTTGTTGAAGTGGTGAATTTTAAGGAGAATTTAAACAAAATGGAAGACACGCAGAGGAACTTCTAAAAATCACCAAAAAGAAAACTAAAAGGCAAGCCAAATGCCCTAAGCCTAGGTGCCTTTGTTAGGGAAATTTATCCATTTAATTACTGTAATGTGTAAGACTTTATGGAAAGCACTTTATGAAATTCTAATTTAAAAGTTCAAGAGCTTAACACTTATTTTTTTATTCAGTCAAATGTGCCTTTATATTATGTGACTCAGTATAAAATCACTGAAGTGTATCAGATTTAACTGTATCCTGTACCAAGACTACTTACCATGAATGCACCAGGATGTAAAAAATAGTGATATTTCCTCACTCTAAAATAAAAACTTTTTGAAGAAAAAAAAAATTAGTATTTTGGTATACAATCTTTGTCCAGTTGAGAATTATAATACCTTCTTTTTCATATAATGACACCCAAGAGCAAATCAGTTAAGTATCCATCACAATCACGGAAATGGGTTTCTGCTCTTGTGCCTGAGTTTAGTATTAGTGACCTGAAGCTCTTGACTCTTTATTTTGGCTTTTTTGGTCTTTCTTTGGTTTCTCGGGTCACAACCGGAGATGCTCAGAGGCTACTCGTAGCTCTGCACTCAGGAATCACTCCTGGTCATGCTGAAGGGACCATATGGGATACTACTGATCGAACTCAGGTGGGCCTTGTGCAAGGCAAACCCTTACCTCTGTACTATCACTCCACAACCCCCCCCCCCCCCCCCGCCGGCCTTTTTAAAACCCAGTTGGCATATTCTACATTGTGATATACTTAAGGTAAAGCTTACCTTTACTCCACAGATATATTTCCTACTCAGTTTTACTAGTTTTGTTTAGGGGCCAGTCCCAGTTGGTCTCTAGTCTGGGCTCCTAGGGTTATTTTTTTGTTTTTTGGCTACACACAGAGGTCCTCATGGATGACTCCTGGTGGTGCTCCAGAACTGTACAGTGCCTGGGTTGAAACCAGGATTGGCTACATCTAAGTCAAGCACCTTAACCACTGTGCTCTCTCATCAACCCCATCCCAGGGAGTTTGCAGTGTGGGGCTAAGTACGGAACCCAGTTTACCATATGCAAAACATGCGCTCCAGCCCTTTGAGCTTTCAGCCCCGATTGAAATTTTTTTTCTGCTACCCATCACTGTAAAAAAGCCCAAGCAAATGACTTGCTTCATTTCCTGCCCAGAGGGTCACAGTGAGGCTTTGTGGTGTGGAACGTGAAGCTTACAATTAACGGCTGGACAGTAGCTCCATGCCAGACACCTTCTCAGGCCCCCAATGACCTGTCTGTGCCTTCTCTTTCCTCCTATGAGAGGGTCCTCCTGACTAGTTGCTGAGTGAAGGACTGATTCACTTTGCCTCTGGGCTTTAATAAGGAATCGCAACCCTGGGAAGCTGTTATCTCCATTTTAGTGAATAATTGCAATTTAGGGTGATCCTAAAGTCACTCAAGGAGTTTTCTCAGTTTCCTCAGTTCACTTTCGTCAGTTTCTAAATTGTTACAATTACCTCTTCAGTTAGTTACCAGGTGGGGTGTGCTGTCTTTTTTTCATTCATGAAGCATCACCTTGTAAATTTTTTGTCTGCTGGATCATACCTGGCAGTGCTCGGGGCTTATTCCTGGTTCTACACTCAGGGATCACTGCTAATGGGGGTCAGGGACTATATGGAGTGCCAGGGTAGAACCCAGTTCAGCAGTGTGCAAGGCAAGTACCCTCGCTGCTGTACTATCTCTCCCAGTCCCCTTAAGAGATTTCTTGAGGTTGGGGGTATGGTGCTGCCAGCAGGTCAATCTGTACCTGTGAGGCGAGTTTATCAGCAGCCTGATGGCACCTTCAGACTTCCAGATACCCTAAAATTGCTGCTGTGCCTTTGGCCAGACCCCAAAAACTTGGGGAAAAGTTTACCAAGAAAGTAAACAAACAAAAGTTAGGTATGTGGGAGATACAACCCACAAACCACCTCCGGCTCAGCTATATAATTGGAAGCATGGCCTCTCTGGTTCCTGATCGAACTGCTTAACAGCCATGATCCCAGAGATTCAGAAAGAAATCTCAAAACCCAACGGCTTTTGGCAGAAATGCATCCAGTCCCTGCAGTAGGTTATAGGCACTGGACCAACCCCGGTGGGAATAGGTTTCATGCCTTGGCCTGTTCCCCCTAGTGGCCCAGTGGCTGCCATCCTCCAGAGACCACTGGACAGTCAGGTTTGGGCCCGCAGTGACGAGACATGTGGGGCTTCACGGGATGAGGGTGGAGCCGGCCCTTTCCTCCCCGTCCCGAGACCCCGAGATGCTGCCCACGAATGGCCTTTCTGGCTCCTGATCAAGCTGCTCAACGGCCATAATCCCAGAGACTCAGAAACAAATCTTGAAACCCAGCGGCTTTTGGCAGAAATGCATCCGGACCGCGCAGTAGGTTACTGTCGCCTGGCCACCCCAGGGGGGAAAGGGTGCTGTCCCTCTGCCTGTTCGGCTTGGTGGCTGCCATCTGCCAGAGGCCATTAGTCAGGTTTGGGTCCGCAGTGACGAGACGTGGTGCCTCACGGGATGGGTGTGGAGCCGGCACTTTCCCCCCAACCCCAATGAGACCCCGAGTCGCCGCCAATGAATAGCCTCTCTGGCTCCTGATCAAGCCATTAAATGGCCATGATCCCAGAGACTCAGAAACAAATCTTGAAACCCAGTGGCTTTTGGCAGAAATGCATCCAGTCCCTGCAGTAAGGTTACTGGCGCTGGGCCACCCCAAGTGAAAATAGGTTTCGTGCCTTGGCCTGTTCCCCCTAGTGGCCCAGTGGCCACCATCCTCCAGAGGCCACTGGACAGTCAGGTTTGGGCCCACAGCAACAAGACATGTGGGGCCTCACGGGATGGTGGTGGAGCCGGCCCTTTCCTCCCTGCCCCAACGAGACCCCAAGTCCCCGTCCACGAACGCCTGGCCTCTCTGGCTCCTGATCAAGCTGCTTAATGGCCATGATCCAAGAGACTCAGGAACAAATCTCGGCCACTACTGCAGCCACGCAATATCATATATTATTCATAACCAGCAACAGAAAACAAATTGTCTACTGTTGCCTTTTCAGCAGATCTGAGTGTTGGGGTAAAATCCAAAATAATAATGGTGGGTTTGGTGTCAAAATACTGAATGTAATCAAAGTAGAAAGAGAGTGATGTGGAAATCATTTGCCCCCTTAAGTAGGGGGAGGGTGTGGGATGGGGATATCCTGGGGTTTTTGGGGGTGGAGAATGGGCACTGGTGAAGGTACTTTCATTGTATGACCGAGACTTAGACCCAAAAGCTTTGTAACTGCTCTCATGGTAATTCAATAAACAAAATTATAAAAAATGAAAAAAAAAAGTGGAGTTCATGCCCAATTCAATCAGCTAATAAGTGGCTGAATAAATAGCAGTACTCCTACATTAAAAAAAAAAAAAAGATTTCTTGAGGAGAATTACAAAGAGGAGCTTGATGCCAAAGTGGGGCGCAGACTTTGCAGGGGGCACAGCTAGCCTGCCCCTCGCTTCCCAGTGAACATAGCTATGTTCCTAGGGAACATAGCAAGACACCCACTCCTTTCTTGCAAGTTTTTCTATTTTTACAAGTAATCATAAATTGTGTACCTTTATTTCATGTATTAACTTATATGAAACGATTGTGGTTAATTCCATTAGATTAAAGTGAGCAGCGCAGGCACAGAAATATGCCTACCTGTAGCTGGAGAGACCACGCCAGGTCTAGGTTTGATCCTGGCCCCGTATGCTCCCCTTCTCGCCACATACCAGTATCCCTGGGTGTGGCCTCCAAACCAACAGGAGAACACAAACCCAGCAGTACCAACTTGCTTAGAATGCATCTCTTTCTGTAGGAGAATAAATTCAGGCATGGTTGTATGAAAAGTCTCTAAAGTTCTAAGAAAAGAAAAGCAGCAGCTGCCTGCCACAGGGAGTCATTCTAGGCACAGGTTGTGCTGCGTTTTATTTTATAAAAGTACCAACTTGGGGGCCTGGAGAGATAGCACAGCGGGTAGGGCGTTTGCCTTGCATGTGGCCGACCGGGGTTCGATTCCCAGCATCCCATATGGTCCCCTGAGCACCACCAGGAGTAACTCCTGAGTGCAGAGCCAGGAGGAACCCCTGTGCATCGCCAGGTGTGACCCAAAAAGAAAAAAAAAGTACCAACTTGTATGGAAAATGTTGGGAGAATTCAAATCATCTACTGGCGCCCAAGGAGCTAAAGGCAGTCTACTTACTCCTGAGAAGGAACAGCGGCTGCAGATGGTGGAAAAGATGTTACACACCCAAGTCCACAAGAAGGCTTCAATGCTAAGTACCGGAGCTTGTGTTGGGACTTCTGTGGTGAGTGCAACAGAGGTAAGGTAATGCATGCAAAAATGAAACAATATGCTTGCAGCTTTAAAAACAAAAAGTCACCTTTATTCAGAATCATAAGGTTTCTCTTTTTAAAAATCTTACCATTATGAAAGTTTAAAAAAATATAGCACTCAGTGCAATGAAAAACTACATTTAATTATTCAAACACTTAAGGCAGGTTTCCCACTGCTTACATGTGAGAATTAACATGATCCAAACTCAAATATCCATTTCTCGTATCTTTCAATGTCTGCAGCGGATACTGACTTGGAAACCTTTTTTAAAGCCATTTCGAAATCCTCCATAGTTGTAGGCATGTGCATTTCTTCTCTTGAAAGATTTCGAATTTCCTCAGGGGTCAAACCTTCAATACGTCTTCTCATCGCCATCAAGGATGCATCCCTAAGTTTTGAGTTGGAGAGAGGGGGATATATATATATAAATATATATATGTGTATATACATATACACATACACACACACACACACAAATATTGCCACACTCGAGCGATTCTTAGGGGTTACTCCTGACTGCACTCAGGAATGAGTCCTGGTGGAGCTTGGACGACCATGTGGTACCAGGGAGATCGATCCAGGTGGGCTGTGTGCAACACAAGCACCCTCCCCATCATACAGCTGCTCCAGCCTCAGTACTACTTATTTAAATCAGTGGTCTTCAACTACTGGTCCATGGCTAGTGCCAGTCTGCAAGTCCTGAAAGGTTGAGAACCACTGGTGTCCACCACTCTGGTTTTAACTGCCAGTGCCAGGAGTGACAATCCTGAGCACAGAGTCTGGAGTAACTCCTAAGCACCACAGAGTGTCCCAAAAACTAATACTGATACTGTACCTTCTGATGTTCAAGTACAGGAGAATTACAAGGAAACTACAGTTGAATTGCATTATAGGTATCCAGGGAAATACGGGGCCGGAGCGACAGTACAGCCGTGAGGACATTTGCCTTGCATGAAGCTAACC